AACATCATCGACTGACAAACACTATTCACTTGACTCTGAAGATGACTTCCGCTCAGGTTGTCGAAACGTCAGTCATCAACAACAGTTCTTTTCAGAACTTTCTTCACCCGGACGATCACACTATACGAACTGATAACTAGTATCTCTACCAAGTGGGTCAATAACATTACCGCTCACAATAATTAAGGAGAAGCAGCGATATAACAAAGCACTATGTTTATTGATCGCATTTCAAATGACTTTGAAAGTAACTAAGATAGATTCTTGAGCTGCATTTGTCGAGCAGTATAACTAGCACATGCAATGTGCCCTGACCAATCAGCGAGAAGCTGTTATCTCTTCATTATTATAATTCAGCCAATCTTTTCTCCCGCAGCCAGACACCGCATACAGGTCTGCTTTGAGCTGTGATACGTGTAGCTTTACATGTAATTGTAGGTTTTTCGACCGTGGATTGGCTCAAAATCTTATTGTGTGCGGACTTCCATTTTATAGAGACTATAAACAAAAAACCTGCTCCATGCTGTATTTTCAAAGCCTAGGCTAAGAATTAGTTCTTCAAATCACCATCAAAGTTTCAGTTGCGAGACTTTTACAGTAGACTTGTCTTTCTTTCTCTTCGTTTCTTTCTTTGCTTTCACTTGATCTCTGACCTCGTCCTGAAGACGAGAGAAGAAAGCTGAAGATGACTTCACCGGCTTGTAATTTCCCTCGTCTTTCAACAGCGAAACATTTTTCGAAGATTTGACATCTTTTTCCAGCTTCATCAGCGCAGCTTTCTTTGAATGCTTATTTCCCAGGCCAGGATTGAGTTTCTCCACGAGTTTTCTTCGCTTCTCTCTAGCCACGGCTCGTTCATGCTGCCTTCTTTTCTTTTCTCGTCTTTCACGCTTTCGATCGATCTCTGTTTTCTCCGTACTTCCTTTCTGTTCTTTTTTCTTTTCGTGGATTTCCTCCGGAGCCAACATCATTGCATCGCTCACAGACACCGGGGCGACCTCTTCAACCGAAATTACAGGCACATTGCTGACAACTTTAAGCTCTGGTTTAGGCTGAAATTTAATGGTTTACAAAACGTAAGTGATGAAACCGCATCCCTTTCCTCTCGTAGTCGGTCTGCAAGAGCTTATCAGTGATGAGCGAAGTAGAATAGGGGTGGGGAATTTTTTGGAACTGGGCAAATTATTGCGGAAACTTAACAAAATGTTCCCAGAGGATAATGACGGATTGCTTCAACCATGATTATTCATTACAGCCGATTACCAATAAGTATGCGATCCGGGAAGTGTGACCTGGGCGGGGAAACCGCGGTTAACAACAGGGCTGTAAGCCGTAACACCTGTTATGGCTGAGTACATGCTTGATTTTTCCCTGGATGTTACGGGTGAAATTGCCTGTTGTTGATAGAATTCACTCACTAAGTAACAAGTTTGCTATGGGTGTGGAGAACAAGGTTGAAACTTAATGACAGCCCTTAACGTGTACACTTGTGTTTCTTGTAAAATAAATGCTTTAAACTTAAAACAGGCCCATTGCCGGTAAAGCTTGTTTTTCATCAAAAGATAACTTACCGGTTTGGGAGTAAAATGAAAGTTTGACAAGGCATCAAGCTTGGTGAAGAGTTTCGTCATCAAGGCTTTAATTTCAACATGCTCTTCATTTTCTTTTTCTTCTGCTTCAGCCTGTAACAGCATAATAATAATAACATAAGTTGATCTGCTTCCGCCTGTAACAGCACAATAACAATAACATAAGCTGATCTAGCATCATTCGGCTTACACTCAACATGGAAATGACACATTCTCCTTGCTTTGATAGAAAAAGTACACGCATTCAAGTTAATTCTTAGCTATAAAGCTTAGCCTTTTCGCATTCAATATCATCGCTCTTATACCTATCACCTTTGTAACATTTAAGCAATAGAGCACTTTTTCCATGGTTACATAACCTCAACTAAACACTTGGGGGTTTGGAGACAGTTATGTAAATCCTCGACTTCGTCTCGGGTTTGCATAACTTTCGAGAATTCTCCCAACCCCCAAATGTTTTAATAGACGAGGCTATGTAAACACGGAAAAAGTACGCTATTGCTTTTACAAAATATTTCTCAAAAATGCGCGCGAGTCTAAAACGTCGCAACCGTGTTTATATACTCTCATCTAAACACACCTACCGACCAATGAGAGCACGCGTAAAATGTCAGTTATTTTGTAATTCCCATCCTAAGTCTGGGTGGAGTTTCTTCCGTTTACTCAGTGCCTTGGTGATAACCAAAAGGTAAGGCACATCGCACAATATTACCCTTTGTTATGCAATACAATCCATCTGTGCTCAACCTCAAACAAATCCTCATGGATAAGTGACCCATATATAAACACAACCTTTGCTCAGAGATAGGAAGGAAGGAACCCCTTCTAATTTCTTCTAAGATGGGTAGGTCTTTAGAGGATAAAAGTACTCAGAGCTAAACTGTAAAGGTCTTGACAATCATGGGCACGTAACAGTCGTGTTTTAAGCCTGTCAACCCATTTAAACACGTATGAATTGCCAATACTCCCATCCTAGCTTGCACCACCAGTACTGAGGTGATTGAACAGCAAGTGGTGGTTAAAGCTGAATACAAACTACTGGAGATGAACCCTGCCATCCTCTTGTTATACCAAGTAACATGATTTTCCTGCATGCAGTTTATTCAACATGAATGCTGTAATTTTTACCACTTAGTAGAGTAATGCAACAGACATCTGCAATGCTCCTTAATCCAATAACTATTTATTCAAATGTAATTTTACACGTATAGGGAATGAGACTGAGAATGAATGAATGAAAAACAAGTTGGAGTTCCCAAACGATAGGAAACGTTTTGCACGAGGAAAGAAGTCAATAAAATTTAATTGTTCAGGAACACCAACATGGCGGCTGTGATGTCATGTGAAAATGCTCTATCATCTAGTTTGTTAATGCCTGTACCTGTGTTTGTTTGAGGTATTCCTGTTCGTAGATTTGACTGAGACTTAATTTGCTTTTTTCCTGATCCAGTGGTACCTTCTTCTTGTATTCAAAAGGCTCCACGACAGGCTTAACTTTACGTTCCACGTCATCCCACGCCTGCAATGTTAACACAGATATAAACAACGGACATGGTATGCTGTCTAAAGAAAACCATTGGGTCAGCCAGGTAAATGGAACAGTGGGGTGGGGACCTTGGAGTAAAAGGGGGGGCTGTACATGAAGGAGGTGAAGGAGGAGAACCAAGTGCAGGATGTAGGGTTCCTAAGGTGGCGGGAACCTAGAGAAAACAGCTTTTTCGGTGAATGTTGCATATCATTTTGAAATGTAAAAGGCATTAAGATGGGGGAACGATTCATAAAGGGGCAGTGAACTATGTAAGAGTAACTCCACAGGTAAACTGCCAGGAAGAAGCCCACAGCAGACTATTATACAATATTACCCTACAAACATATTGGTGACTTGGGGTGAAAAGGTTATATGCAGGCTAGTATGGTCCCTAGAGATTAAAACAAACTCTCTATATGGAAGTACAATGTAGCTGAATGCTAACAAGGATTGTACTTCGGAAGTACTTTAATTCAGTGTACCTATTTTATTTTCCATTAACTGTATCCTATTGTTAACTGTGATGGGCTATTGCTGGTTGGTAAGGTGTATCAAACTGTATAATTCAGGGTTCAGAATATTAATAGTTTTATCCTGCAACACAAAGTAACACTGACATACTTCATCTTTGATCCTTTGTTTCACCAAGTCCTCAAGGTTTTGAGTTGTTTCTTCTGTTATATCTGGAGCTGTGATAAAGATGACACTCCATTAAAAACCTATCACAGCATTGCAGTACAAATAAATAAAGAATGATATAATGGCCTGCTCTAAGCCAATCCCAACCAAAGAATTTTCTCAGCAATATTTAATGAATTAATTGGCAGACCATTCCTTTCTTTTCCTGACACAAAATGGGCATTCCACAATTCACCCTACCGCTTCTAGCACCACTTAGATTTGGATCTGCTATTGAGTTCCATTATGAAGTGTATATTTTTTACCAGTAGTAGTGGTGTGGTCAAAGCTGACATCTTCTTCAAGCAAGCTGTTAATTGGTCGTATATTACCACCTGCCTCTCCAGACATCTGCCATGGTTTTTGAGCCAAGTTGGCTTTCTCCAGTTTTTCAATTTTCTCTTTAAGCTGTAAACAAAAATATGGCTCCTGAATATTGATCCAAAAGAAAATCAAAACAGCCAATCTATACCAATATCTGCATTTAATATCTCTAGTGACCCAAGAATAAAGGAATACTTGTTGAAGAAAACAACCTGTAAGATTTTAGAGAATGCTAAATGCTGTAATCTTATAACCCAAGAGGAACAAAGAACCAGCACAAGCTGTTCTCGTAATGATGGTACAGATAAAAGGAATTTACATTTTGATAAGGGTCTTTTTCTCACCATTTTTTCTAAAAGGGTAGAAAACACTTTATTAATGTTTCTATAGAGTTTTACTACAAATCTACTAACATTCTATGACAAATGTTGTTCCCTGATGTGCTACGCTACTCATTATCTATTCTGTTGTACATGTAGATAGCGGCAGTCTGACAGTGTGCGGTTGTTAACAAAATGGCGGCCGCTCCTTTGCATTTTCAAAGTGTCTGTGAAGATGATTTAGTGATCACTCATTGGTAGTCACAAAAATATTTACCTTTTGTTGTTTTTTCTCAAAATTTGATATTGCTTTAGACTTCTCTTCACTGTCAGAGTCATCTCCATCCTCACTGTTAGCAGAAACATGATCATCCTCTATTTCCTTTTCTGCATCTTTGTCAAATTCCTCCTGCTCATCTGATTCATTTTCATTATCTTCTTCACCTTCTCCTCCACTTCCTAAGTCTACACTTAGTTCTCCATAAGGAGGATCAAAGAAGTCTGCATACTTCATTCTCCTGGCAGACTTTCCACTTGTCTTTTCTTTCTTTGTTAACTCCCTTTTCCTGCTCATATAATTATGATGAATAACAGGGACAACATTAGAAACTTCAGATTAGCTACCTGTACTTTGCTGCATCATTTAAAGTAAAAAAAGAAGGACATGCCTGAAGGTGGCCTCAACACAAATGTGGCTTCCATACTCAATGTTTACTTCATGCAACATCATTTTCCTTATGTCAACATTAGGGGGTGGCAAATGGCACTAAGAAAACCACAAGTCTTGGAAACTTTTCATCTGATCTTGAAATCTCAAAATACCTTCTGACGAAGCAATAATTTTGTATTGGCATTTTGTCTTGCAGTTGTCTCAATCTGAGATGTTTAAACAGAGATCTTGGCATCTTATTGAGCCTTAGATTTTACCACTCATCATTCATTGCCCCTAGAATCAAACTCTATATTGCTGTTATTCACGTTATTCTTACATGTATCTTCAATTCTCCTAGATCATAATGTTGTAAATTAAGACCTACATTAAATGGATGTTTGGCAGACATTTTGAACCTTTAAGATAGATAAAAGCACCAACTGACTGCATTGCCTAGCAAGCCTCCCATGCTCAGGCTCATCCAATAAATTTTTCAGCTGTTAAATAAAATGCACAAGCATGGATATGCACCTTCCTAGAAGGGATTCAGTGACACCAAGAGCTTTGCTCCATTCTTCATCCTCCTCTTCTTCTGTGTCATCACTGTCCATGTCAATAAAGTAATCAACAGCTTCACTGTCAATCTCATCTTCATCATCCTCATCATCGACACTTTCCTTCTGGCTCTTCTTTCTATGTGCTCTTTCATATCTTCTGTCCTCTTTGTCTAAAAACTGAAGCATATCAGAAAGTTTGAAGAAACTGTCATCAACTTGAGACTTCTTATTTGTTGATTTTTGTTTCCTGTTATTTTTAGTACAAGACTTAACGTTGTTACTGTCATTGTTATCATCATCATTCTCATTTTCCCCATCATCACTATCATGTCCATCACCATCATCCATTTGATCATCAGAATCTTCATCAGGACTAAATCCCTCATTAACTCTGTCACTTTCTGTGTCACTTTCTGATGCATTCTTCACAAATCCATTGCCATTTTCATTAACAACATCGTCTGAACGTTGTAACCGATTTCCTTTCACTACTTTACTATTTCCTGGCAAAAGAGAAAGCTGACCAACGTTTTCTTTTAAATTACGAACGTCTTGTTTCAGGACACGCAATAAAGGAGCATTCTGCAGTTCAATCTCTTGCCATATCTGTTCATCATCAAAATTTTCCACCAAGAGTTCCTGTAAAGGACACGTGCTTTCAAGAGAACGCGTGCCACTCAGTTCATCTTTCTTGCAAAAATCAAATATTTGCTTGATTGCAGATAAAGTGTTTTTCTGAAGAATAGCTGGAGGTTTAAGATATGATTCTGGCTGATCGAAAACGCTTTCAAACTCCGAAAGAACAGAGACGAGAGGAAATGTTCCACTATTGTCGTCCGCCATGTTTGTTTGTCCTCGCTCCAGTCCTTTCCTCAAATTTTGCCGACTGAAAAGGTCTAGGGGAGAGTGCTGTCACTTCTTCTTTTCCAAATGGCGGATGCGGATTCCGACGGCCAGGCATCAACATTTTCAGAGCAAAGGAATCGGGGCAAAGATCATTTAAAAGGGAAAAGGAAAGGTGCGAAGTCATTAATTGTTTCCTGGGAAGTTTATGTAACGGTTATTGTTTGGTAGAAAACCTTTATATGGTCTTAGAATAATTCTAATTTTCAGCGGCGACAGTCAAGTCATAAGACTCGTCGCACCCAGAAGGCGCTGATTTTCGATTCAATCAATGAACTTTAACAAATAATATCTGATTGACGGTACCGTGTTCCTCCATTTAGAAGCTGACAGTACAGTTTCTTTCTTTTATTTTGTGACATTAAATTGACAACCTGGTTTAGACGATTCTACATTTAGTATAATCATTTGTTAAGAAAGAAACTGTACTGCGAATACGGCGTGCATGCATACCGGAAGGCATGGTGAATCTAACAAAAAAAATATTTCGCGTAGGTTTATAATAATCGATATTTCTTGGTTAACTCTTTCACGAAATACAAGGGAATTTTCTCACTTCAGAACAAGGAGCTTTTGTCGAGAACCATCTGTTTCAGTGGTTTAATTTCTATGACTCAGGCGACCATCATCAGACCATTATTTTGTTATTTAACAAGGCAATTTAAAATGTAAGCTTGTACCGGGATCTAAACACTCACTGACTACATGCTCAATCGATTTTCCGAAGAACTCTTCCTTTCATTGTATCTAAACTTGAAAATCTTCTTTTGAATTTGTTTAAGAAAACTAAAGCAATAATGTATTTCCTTAGCAGATGACATCTTCGTTATCTTTATTTTAGTATATGCATTTTGATAGGATTATTCAACAGTCTTGAGTCAATAATTTCTGTCTCCCTCTCTGTTGATAAGAGCCTGATATTTGCATAGCCAGCTTGTATATAACATCTTTATTTTTAAGAGCCTTTTAGAGAAGATAAACATGGCCTGTAAAGAAATCAAAATACAGTAATGAAGTCTGTTTGGAGTCATCTATTTGGTGATTAACTCCAAATTTCTTTCCTTAGCATAACTGACTTGGATGAGGTTCTAGTCCATCACAAGTCACCTGTCCACTCCCCCTTGCTTTTTGATGGTATTCGGTCACTTCGTTCCATGGTCACTTTGTTCCATCTGTTAGTCACTTTGTTCCAAAGAATAGTCACCTCGTACCAATGGGAAATCTTACAAATCTTACAAATCTTACAAAGCTACTAAAGACCTAAAGCGGATAGAATGTCGATTCGATACAAACTTCTTGTTTACTTACAAAAGTAAACTAGAAGAAATATCCCAATGAAAGTGTTTTAATCTTCGCATCAGACCAAAAAGATCCCCAGGACTTGGAATTTGAAATTGCAGCAGACCATATCCCATCAGAGTTCCTGCGGGCTGACATCAGAGTGCGGAGTCAGAGACACCTAGTTTTTGCCACCGATCAGCAGTTCAAGTTCCTTGCCTGTTCAAAGGTTTGGTACTTCGATGCCACATTTATTAGCTGTGCCACGGAGCGGAGTAACTCGTTCGTAAACGAAGATTCAAAACAGACTCTGCATTCGTTAACTTCGAATTTTTGGAAAAATCTATTGAGAATAAAAGTTTAATAGCTTAGTTTGCCTCTGGAACGAAGTGACTATTCTTTGGAATGAAGTGACTATTTGCTGGAATGAAGTGACTCTTTGATGGAATGAAGTGGTTGGAATGAAGTGACCATGGAACAAAGTGACTGTAAACCTTTTTGACCAGTTCCCCTAATGTTTCATTTGTAGTTTATATACACCTATGTTTGGAGGTGCAAGAGCGTGCCTACTGTAATTTGTTAATTAAACATTGCAACAAACAATAACTTCCAGCTATATGCCCCCCTGAAAACAATTGGATATAAAAAGCCTCAGGATATTAAGTTTTGGTTTATATCTATGTGTATAAATAGCTCTTAATTACAGGCGGCTGATGATAACTTAAATCCCGTGGTAACTTAAACCTTACATTGACTTCCCCAAGATGCATTTCTTACATAAAAACTATAATGTTACCCTCAGTAAATTGAACTTCTTGCCATTTCATAGTTTTACAATTTCTCTGTTGAAACACACACCATGTTATATTTCCATTTCCAGTCAATTGTTTTGCCTTGAACCTTTGAGTTTTCATGAATTTACTGTGCAAATTTCTTTCTATAAGCCCCCTTTTACAGGCTTGTTCTTCATTTTGTATTCTTACATTATGTTTTCAGACTTAAGATGGTCATTTGATGATTGTAGAACTTGTGTTATGTCAGTTGTTGTTTAATATTTAATGGTATGAGCTGTAAAGTTTTTCGGGTGTGAGTAGCTTTCTAGTGAATGCTAGCTAGCAATTGCATTTTTGAGATGCACAATTTCTTCCAGGAACTGAGGCCTTCCTTTGTTAATGTGCATCTGGAGCAGTATAGTGTATTTTTAATGCTCTGTGGGGTACAACTAGCAAGTTTTACAGCTGTGCAGTGAGTACTGTAACACAAAATAAAAGGCTTGGTGGCTGTTTGCAATATGGTTTTGCCTATGCCAAAATGCAGCGGTTAAGAAGAAATGTTATTGAAAGCCTTGTTAAATTGGGGTAGTAGTGTTGTATCCTGACCTTGCTTGTAAGAAAACATTCAAATTTGAAATTTTCAATTAATATTATAGGGAAACATGCTATAGAGGGAAAAGAGAGGTTAAAGAAAAGAGGGATGAGTAAACCGGGACATGCTGTGGTCATATCTGGTGGAAGTACAGAACCACCATTTGATGATGTGCCTGTGGATCTATCAGCAGATCATAAGGATTTGGTTATGGAATACTCAGGTAATGCTAATATAAATATCTAGGTTAATTAAGGCGATAACTGGCAATTATATCAATGAAATTTTTAAAATCTCCACAGCCTGTATAGCAATTTAGCAAATTCCCAATTATATAGCTGTTCATTCTCTAAAATGAAATCCTATCCATGACATCCTAACCAGTATAAAGAAATCATATGGGTTTTAACAAGCAGACACATGGCCTGTGTGTGTAGAGGGAAAAAGACTAGGGGCCAATGAACCTGCTGTGTGTAATAATTAATGTATTTCCCCACTGTGGGGTCTTCGAACTAGCTGCATCATACATGTAGAGCTTTTCAGTCAATATTTTCATTGTCATTTTCACGAGGCTGAGGTTACTTTAATTTGAGGTCAAGGTATGCTCAGAGAAATGTTGAAAGAAAAGTCTTATCAACAGCAGAGAATGTTTTGTGAACTTTGTAGGTCTTTATATTTTTCCATTAGAATAATCAAATTATGGGTTTTGAAGAATGCAAACTATAGCAGCAAAATTATATTAGTTGTGGCACTGATAGACAAATTGAATAAATCTGAAGATTTGAGAGGCATTGTAGAGGTTCCATTAGGGGCTGGGTATGAGGCAAATTGACCGGCTGTGAGGAAGATTTTGCTGGACTGGTTCGACCATCTAGCAAAAAGTTTTTCTTACAAAGAAGTTCAGATTTAATAGTTTTGTCCACCTATGAAAACCAGTTACCCTCCTGCTGAAAATGTTAATGAAATCCATGCATTATCCACCTCAGTGTTGCTGGTCATAGTCCTATCCCAGTTGTGACATTTATTTGGTTTTCCAGGCATAAAAAATCCTTGTGAGAAACACCGTTGACCAAAACAAAAATTTACTGCTGTGCAAGTTCTGGGATCATTGTTTCTTGGTCCCAGGCACTGTTCCCTTTTGCAAACCTTCTTCTGTGTGAGACCAAATATTTTTATTATATCATTGATAATTTTAATATAATATATTCGCAATGGAGGGTAGAGAACATAGCTTCCAGGTCTGACAAAGCTGTCTAGCAATTCAACAGAGTCATTGCAAATTAAAAGTAAATTTGTTTCAATTGATTATTCCCTAATTTAGTTTGCAATTCTAAATCTGATCCAGACAAGTTGAATTTTGCTTGAAAATTAATCTTGTTAGTTCTAGGTTCTTTTCTATAACCATTTAAGGTGTGAGTGAAAATTTGCCAACCAATGCACTGGTTTGTAAGAAAAATTCTTTATGTTTTTAGAAGCCTGAATTTAATGATAAGCTGTTTGTTTTAATGAAGTATGCATGCCGCATGTACTTTTTTGCCTGCATTCTGATGTTATGTATTGATTTATGGTATACTTTATTATAAATTTAATTTACTATGAATTGTTAATCAGACAGCACTTTTATTTGTGGGTTTTTGCCAAATAAATGAAATTGTTACCAATTTGCATGAAATCCAATTTACCTTCTGGGTAATTATTTAGTAATACCTTCTGTTATTTGATTAACTGAAGGCCACATGCAAAATTTAGGAATGAGCGAATTGAGTTGAACAAAAAAAGAAGTTTCAAAAAGTTGCTTAGCATAGTGAGCCCAAACCCTTCATTTTCATATTAAATGACAAAAAGATCCATTATTACTGATTTAATAAATAGAGAGAAGATGGGCTAGCAAATATATACTGTAATGTCTAATTCTGTTAAATCCTGGGTATCCATGTATTTTAATTATTGCATATTTCTTGTCTGATCTAATTCTATTTTGTAAAATTATAAATCATTTATTAGTTTACAATTGACCTGTTTTTGCCTAGTTTATTAAATTTTTGGTCAAGGTAATAAGGATGAAAATTTTGCTGTCAGGAGTATAAAACAAAGTTAGGCTGAGTCCCTGAGGGAAACTCATGGCAAGCTAGATCATTTAGTAATAAATAAATTCCTAAGTTCATATGTGACACATGTCTTGCATATTGTTAGGATCAGCGATGACCCAAGCATCTTACATGTATTCTTAATTTCTGAAATGTCTTGTTAAGCAATTACGTTGGCAATGTTAACGATCATACAACGAATGTCCTTTGATATTGGCTCTGCTGTGTCTGAAATTTACATTATATTTCCCAGCAGTGCAGCATAATATAGAAGCAGAATAAAATCCTAAGAAATACACAAACTATTTTCCTGACAATTAGTATCAATAAATGATAATTAGGAGTATAAGTAATGCTATGAATGCAAGTGCAATGATATATTACATGTATTAAGGATTTGCACTATGAGTGATGTTTGAAAATTCTCTAAAGATTGCACAAGCCTTAAGGCGAGTGCAGTTTGAAAGAATTTTCAAATATCATTGCTAGTGTAAGTCTTCAATTGCCTGAGGTTTCATATGATTATTCATTTATTAAGTGGCTGAGAAAATTACGAACATTCATTAACAGTGAATTGGACTGCTCTCAGCCAGTCACAATAGGGAAATTTTCTCAGTCATATAATGAATCATGTAACTATTGATCAGTGTTTTACACGTTACCATCACTTTCCCTATTTCAAGAAAGCAAAATATATTTAAAATAGGAATGATATTGTTTGAATGTTAACCATACGTTATTTTGCAATTAAGAATATAAAATAAAGTTCCTTGTTTTCTAATGTTAATGTGTATACCAATATCATTAATNTTTTTTTTCTCCCAACTGTTTCCTTCTTTTCTTTAAAATCATCAGTTAATACCAAGTTGACTCTTAATCATAATAATCGGTACTTTACATTTGCAGGTATTTTTCAGTCTGTGATTGTTAGAATGTTTCTAAATATTTTCAGTCATAAATCTCTTATTAACCAAGCTTGCTTGGGACTGCACTGTGTGAATATCAGACCTCAGTCCATACTGTCAAGACCTTGGGCTGATATTCCTCCAGTATGGCCCTCATGCTTGGTTAGTAAGACAAAAAGATATGTCTAAATTATATTGTAATGTCACTAACACTAGATATGCCAGGTATTCTTTTTTGTTGCAGGTTTTGTAGTATGAAGTGACTTTGATTATCTCACATATTGTAACTCATAGAGGGTGCCTTATCACTGCAGCCCTCCCTTAGTATTACAGTCAAATTTCTCCAGAAATTCTCTGGTCCCCATTTATACATATAACTGGGCAGTGTGCAAAGAAGTTGTGTCTGATAGCCTGGGGTTTTGTGGATTTTTGTTTAGGCTAGTGGATTCTGAGATTAAAAAATTGAGGGAGTGCAAATTCCAGAAGTATGTTAAAAGATCAAGTTATTGTTTTAATTTTTAGTTAATTTATCCTGCTTGGGAAAAAATTCTTTTAAGGCTAATGAAAATGCCTGTCGTGCCAGTACATGGAAAGATTTTCTTTGTCCCCTTGTGGGGAGAAGGAGGGGGAGGGGGAGGGGTGAGTACATTGTGAGAGTGAACTCTTAATTTCCTAATTGTGTATTGTATGAAGAGCTATCCACTGCATCGGCTTGCTGGCCACTAAAATCCCAAGGAAAATACAGTTGAATCTGTGAGCGTTCAAGGTAGCTGGTAGTAACTGACTGATAAGCACATCAAAGGGGCAATGATTTCAGATGGAGATAGTTTGGGAATTTTTTTTTCAAATAACCAAGAATCATCTGTACAACATTATATATGTTTTATTAACACTACCGCCGTCATATGAACTTTTTTCTCATAGATATGTTTGAACCATCAAAGGGCACTGGTTTTATTGATATTCAAGATGGGGATGCCGTATCTGAATCCAGTGACACAGAGATTGTTGCACACACTAAAGAACAGGTACAGTATGGTAATCAAGCTACATCAAGTGAAAGCAACAGTGACAGTGATGTAAATGACGGCCCTCCGCCATTACACAGTGATGAGGATGATGACGATGGTAGTGATATGGATGGCATAGATGGGCCCCCTCCTTTGGACAGCGATGGCAATGCTGAGAACTCGGATGGTGCAGAAGAGCTACCTACCTCGCCTAACACAGGCAGCAGCGATGAATTGAGCACCAAGAGAGCTCCTATGCCAAGTGAGAGGAGAGGTGTAAAAAGTTCTGAAGACTCTGAAAGTGATAGCGATAGTGAGAGTGGTGTAAAAGAAGCACCACCACCTCTTGATAGTGAAGATGATGGAGAAGAAAACGAACTGAGTAGTCCTAGTGCAGAAAATATGGAAAGTGCTAATGTTGACATTGTTGAAAGTGATACACATGATTCACCCGTAGAGGAAGTTAATAATGACGATGATGAAAATGATAATGATGATGACAATCGCGATAATGATGAGGATGATGAGCGACATGATGATAACAATGATAACGATGATGATTCTAAAGAGGAGGAAGTGGAGGAGGACACTCAAGCAGTGCCACACTCGACTGAGTCTGTCAATCTTGAGATTGAAAACTCAGAGGAAAGTGAACAATCTGATTCACCTGCAGAAGCCGAGAGGCAAGTTCCACTGCAGCACCAATCTGATGACAGTGATGATGGCATCGTTAACGAGAGAGACAGTGACCACGAAGCTGCCGTGGATTCAGTGGAAGAGGTACATGTTGCTTCTGTTGTCAATGAGGTGAGCAGCTCAACACTAGCTGATGAGGATTCACATACAGATGAACTGGATGATAATGAAAAAACCGATGTTACTGAGGATACTGCCATTAGCAATGAACTTGATGAGAAAGAGGTTGCTGCAAGTTCAGCTAGTGATCACAATCATGACCGACCACGTAGTTGTAGTAACGAAGAAAGTCCTGATGATGATAGTGATCAGGGTAGTGGTGACTCTCCACAATTTGATCCCATGGAAGATGAAAATGAGCTGGAATGGGATGTGGAAGATTTTGATCTACCCCCTCATAAGAGTGCAAAGCCAAACTCAAAGACCAAGACAGAAGGAATAGAGGTTGACAAACTAAAGAAGTCTTTTCTGGACACTCTTAAGAGTGAAGCAGAGCAGACAAAGGTTGATGAAACTGGACAGAAATCCGAGACAAAGAAAAAGGAAAAGGTCGATAAAGGATTAAATGCAAAGAACACCCTCAAAGACGAGAAGAAACGTGCTGATGGTTATTCAAAAAATGTGACCAATCATGATTCAAAAAGTGAGCCTGGGAAACATCCCAAGAAAGTGACAAAAGAGATCTCACCTAAACCTGAACAAGACAAAACAGAAAAGAAAAGTGTTAAAGATGGGATAAAAAATGTACCAAGAACTTCGCCAACTACCAAGCAAGTTAACACTGTAACAAAACCTGTGAAAGCAAAAGTCAAAGCTACAGATAAGAGTGCAGACAAAACAGACATAAAGCAAAAGAGTGAAAAACAAAGAAAAGATATCAAAGAAAGTCCAAGGATGACTGAAGCACCTAGTATGGAAAGGAAAGTTGTAGCAAAATCTGGAAAGGTAAAATCTGCTTCAGCGTCATCTCTCCATAGTGGCATTGATGACCAACAAAGAGGTGCTAATGAACAGCAGAGAGGTCAACAGACTCTGCCAACAAAAGAAAGAAAAAAGCCCAGACCAGTTAGTGATTTACCAGCTGATACTCGTTCACATATTAAGCATAAAGAAGAAGTAAATTTGCCTGCCATCCAAACAAAAAAAGAAATAAAGAAACCACGAAAGAGTGATAGTGATGCAACATCGGATTCTTTGATAAGGCAAAAGCCACAGAAAACGAGCTCTTCCGAGTCTGTTCCCAAACAAAAGAAAGCAACCCCCGTTGTAATACCGACGCAAGGAAGGAAAACGAAGGAAAACGAAACACCCGCAGAGAGTACTGAAGTAAGGAAGGCAAAAACTAAAAGAACTGCTAGTAAGCCTGTTGCTGTTGGAACTGAACATGAAGATGCCGTTGTTAATCACGAAAGGAATCGACATAGTGATACGCATGTACCTGTTAAAAATACCGCTGAAGTAAAAGCAGCCAAACCGCGGTCAAGACACACAAGTAATGGTCACGTCTCCAGCTCACATGAAAAACTTTCCTCACACTCTGGTCGGCATGATCATGGTCACAGGGACCATGCTTCTCACAAGCACAGTGACCACGCCCATGATCGGAGCAAGCATGTTTGGCTCTGCAGAGACGATGAAATTCATAAGCTCATTGCACAGAAAGCATCTCTGTTAAAGGAATATGAGTCAGGAAGCTTGGCTGGGAGAAAAGTTTGTAAGTAAATCTTTGTTATGCACATAAATAACATTTGATATTTGTTTCTTAATATTTAATGGTTGGGGACAACAGCTGTTTGTCTCGTTATAGCTACGGTGTGTCAATCTGATGGCAGACCCTGCTTACACCTTTATATTATGGGGCAGTGTTCATGATCTGCTTTCAAACATCTAAGCCATGCAATATTACTCTTGTAGATACAACATTGCGGCCGACGGAATTTTGTTTTGTCAAAAAAGTTCATCTTCTAGTTTAAATCTATCAACCCACGATTAAATTGATAACAGGCATTCCCAGTGGTTACTACTTAGTAGACCACTTAACAGTGTAAAATCGGCTTAAAGAATTCTAGTTCAACTGACCTGTGGCCGAGAAAATCCATCCTCTCGTTTTGCTTGAAGGGTATTCGGTAGTTTTCTTCATTCTTTGAAAGGGAAAGAGAGGCTACTCAGACGTCCCAGTGGAAAAACAAAAAAATTAATTAATTGTCCTAGGAATCAAGGGCTCAGTTTTCAAGTCAGCAGGTACCACATCTGCATGTGAAATTAACCAATCAATTCATTTGAACGCCGACGCAATTTCGCTCCGTGTTTACATTTTAGTAATTATACCAGCAACGAAATCGGTGCCAAAGAGATAAGCATTTTTATACTTGTGAGACGAGTAGACTGACTTTGTTTTCAATATTTTGGTGTTCGGTAGAATTTAATAAAATAGCAGGAGCTTTGAATCGCATGGCAATGTGTCAGTCATCTTGGGTTCCGCTTAAAGTTTCAGGACACATAAGCCGTTACAAAAGAGAGGAGGAGCTTGCTGATCTCCCGGATGTAGGATTCATTAGCAACAAACCGACACGGAGACAGACGAGGCCGTTGAGCGAAGCCTTTCCAGACAGAGCACCTTACAGCTCACGGAGGAAAGCTCAGCGCCGATCTCTGCAACTCTCATACTCGGGATCTTCAACAGACGAGGATGAGCGGACCAACAGAGCTGTGGAGGCAAAGAGAGGTGGTACTTTTTCCGTGGGGTTGGCGTCGAGAAACGTTGAGCAAAAGGAGGCAGCAGGTGGGAGTGACTCGGATCACGAGGAAACCTGTGAATACTGTGCGGCGGAGAAGGTTTGTAAGCTGTACGGTGTATTCTAATGATTCGTTAAAGTAGTAAAACTCGACATTCTTTGAATAGTTACAGGAGATGTTCTGTTATTGACGAAGTTACGTTCAAATAGAAAACAAAAAGTAAAGTAATAGTTTGCTAAGCGGGAAGGAACACCGCACTAAAAAGATAATAACAGACCCGGCAACAAAATCTTTTAGACTGGGGACGGTAACAAACGACCAACGTGACGTCATCATAACGCGCCATCATAGATTGGGGAACAAGTACCGTATTGTAGTAGTTCGTCAAGTGTGATCGTCTGGGTGAGGATAGATCCGCAAAGAGCTGTTGTTGGTGGCTGAATACCTGACCGGAAGTCATCTTCACAGTCAAGTGAAAAGTGTTTGTCAGTCGGTGATGTCATAAGTCTAGTCCGTTGAAACTGACTGGTCAGTTAAGCGGAGAAGGTATTCGCTGTTAAAGACTCGTGTGAAGTTTCCCAATAGTCATCGGTCAGTTCTTGTAAGTTTTGATCCGTCTATTGCTGGTCAAATTAAGTCGGTCTGTTTGAGGTCCGTCTATTGTTAGTCAGATTAAGTCGTTCTGGCTAAGGTCCGTCTGTCGGTTTTGTCTACGACTTGAACAAGTCGTTCGTAAGGTCTCCGTAGTTGTTGACATCTGTTGAGAGGAGTTTATTCTAATTTGGTCAACGAGCTCTCAGAGTCAGTCGTTGCCAAATCCAGGCAGATGTATCCGTGAAGTTTCTAATTCGTTTTGTCCAACCAGAAACTGTGCGAGCTCCTCGAACGTTGTCACAGTCAGCCTGTCGCCATTGGTTACGAAATGTTGCTTAGCAACATACCTGCTGAAAATCGTCGGCTCAGGCAATTCTTCTCAATGCGAAGGTGGTACTTGTTCTCCTGGCGATATAAATTTCATTTGTTTGATGTTTAAAGAAATCTTGTTTCCTTCTGTTTACACCTCACTTTCTCACTGACGGTAGTTTTGTTCTTCATTTTGACATTCCTCTCTGGTTCTTCTTAACCTGTAGATTTATCTTTGACCTAAACGACTTCGCGCAATTTTATAAAACTGCGCTTCTCTGTTCAAGATTCTATTTTGATCTTTGTTCTCGAGGATACTGAGACGCTGAAGTCAGACGACGGAAGTAGATTACATCAAATGTTACCAACTGTGTGCTGATCGTTGTCTTTTACGTTTTTTCCTCTTGTTTACGTTGCTTGGTGTGTGTCTGTCTGTGTTTGCTGGTAATTATTAGATGTCGTGGGATGAGTATGTGAGGAATTGTAAGCAAGCCGTGACCCAGCGTCGCCAACAGCAGCAGCAGACTGATGAACCCAACACTCTTCCTCTTCAACTGCTTCAAACTTTCCGCTTGCCTGGACCTTTCTTTGACTCATCTGTAAGTTTCTGTTATGTCAGCATGGCTTTCAAATGAAGCCCACTACTGGATTAAGCCAGTTCTATCTTCTCTTACTGTGAGCTAACCTTTGTAATTTCACGATCCAGTTCTGGAAGATCCATGACGTTTACCCATCGATTGCGCTTCGCAGATCAATTTCTACAGTCTCAAGTTTAAAGTGGTTTTAACCTGTGCCTAGCCTTACATTAATTCTTTCCAGTTGCAGGGCTCGAAATTGCGACTCACTGGTCGCCAATGCGACCAAAAATTGAGCACTG